ATGCTCACCCCGCCACTGGACCCACAAGACTTTCCACCCACACGCCTGTGATCTTACTGCACTTGGCATCATTGCATGTGTTTCGTGAGTCTGAAGAGGAATTTATAGATTGGTATTGGGCATATGGGCTAATATTGGACTTATGATCTTGATCTAGATTGGGCTGGGGTGTTTTCTATACATATAATTGCTCTTTTATCTGAAACTCTTTCTTATACACATATGAGTGTCTGTGGGTTCTTTTGGTGCTCTACTCTACCCATACTAACACATCAGGAGAGACCAGTCACTAGAAATGGACATCATGCTTGGTAAAGTAGCGGGGAAGACCCTCGACAAGACGGACGGACACACTGGCTGCAGCAATGGGCTCAAACATAAGAACACTGGTGAGGATGGGGCAGGACTGGGCCAGAACTGACTGGACAGCACCTAACAACAACCTAAGAAGATACAGCCACAGAGTGTGGCACTGCTCACAGAGACATACGCAGACCAGAAACCAGAGTCTGGTAATAATCCTTACGTTTACAGTCAAGTGACTGTTGGCAAAGATGCCAAGGTGATGCGGTGGTGAAAAGGATACTCTTTTAAATAAATGGTACTGGGATAATTGAGCAGCCACACACAAAAAGATGAATTTATACCTAAAATCCATGACATATAATTATCTCAAAATAAACCATAGCATGTAAACTCTAAAAACCCAAATGATTGTACATTGGAGGAAATATTTGTGCTCATGGATCTTTGGTATGAGAGCAAAAGCATGATCCTTAAACTGGTAACTGAACTTTGTAAAAATTAAGAATGTTTAAACTTCAAGAGACACTTGATAAAATGAAAGGCAAGCCACAGATGAGGGAAAAATTATTTACAAATCATTACTCAGATAGAGCTTACATCTAGGATGTTTAAGTAATTGTTACAACTCAATGTAAGATAAATGATCAATTAAAAGGGGGGTGGTGTTTGAATATACTTTTCACCAGAGACACTAAACAAATGGCCAATAAGCACATGAAAAGAAGCCATCACCACTAGTTATCAGGGAAATCCAAATTAAAACAAGAGATCTAGTACTAGGAAGACTATAATAAAAAAAACATAAAAGAATTTAAGCAATAAAAAAAATAAAAGAACTCAAAAACAATGAAAGAAAATGGGGGGAAAGAAAAAAAGAGCCATAAACCAAGCAGGAAAAAACAAAAACAAAATCTTTCTACCAAGAAAAACTTTGTTTCAGATAGCATCAGTGTTACATTACTCATATATCAAATGCTCAAACGAAAACACCAATCCTATATAATCTCTTTTAGAAACGAAGAGGAGGTATCACTTCCGAATTCATTTAATGAGACCATTTAAATTATATACAGTTAAAGACAAGATGTACTCTTTGCAGAAGACATACTACTAAAGTATACAGATGTAAGGCACTGCGCCAGAAGTTTTGAGAACTAGGTTCTAATCCTAGCTTGGTCATCAGCTATTTTAAAAAGCTGGGACTCGGTAAGGATGATGGTTGAACAACATGATGTCACTGAATGAGAAGACTGTTAACTGGGTTATATGCAAGGGTTCCCAAAAGTTGGAAAAATTCCATTAACTTTCAACTGCATTCTTTCCAACCTTTTTGAAGCCTCCTCACTTAAGTACTAAGCATCCTTTCCAGAGTGCGGGTGGGCAGCTGTTAAGCTCTTGCCTGCTAGGCAAAAGGTCAGCAGCTCATACCCAGCATCTGCATCCATGGTGGAGGAGAAAGCTACATCTGTCTAGCTTTTTCATTTTCCTGCTTATTCCTCTAGCTGCCTGTTAGGATGGGCATCTCACCACCATGGTCAAG